TACTGGTAGCTTTGGCACTGTGTGCAGGTGCCAAGTCCTGTTGGAAAATGGATTCTGCATCTCCATAAAGTTGGTCAGCAGCAGAAAGCACAAAGTGCTCTGAAACTTCCTGGTAGATGGCTGTGTTGACCTTGGACCTCAGAAAACACAGTGGACCAACACCAGCAGATGACATGGCACCCCAAACCATCACTGACACCGGCCCTCAAGCAACGTGGATTCTTTGTCTCTCTTCTCTTCCTCCAGACTCTGGAACTTTGATTTCCAAAGGAAATGCAAAATTTACTTTCATCAGAGAACATAACTTTGAACCACTCAGCATCAGTCCCAGGTGAGACCCGTCTGACGCTATCTTGTTCAGGAGTTGCTTAACACAAGGAATGCAACACCTGAAACCCATGTCTTGCATACGTCTGTGCATGGTGGTTCTTGAAGCACTGACTCCAGCTGCAGTCCGCTCTTTATGACTCTCCCCCACATTTTGGAATGGGTTTTGTTTCACAATCTTCTCCATGGTGCATTTATCCCTATTGCTTGTACACTTTTTTCTACCATATCTTTTCCTTCCCTTCTCTATATTAATGTGCTTGAACACGGAGCTCTGTGAACAGCCAGCCTCTTTAGCGATGAACTTGTGCAAGGTGTCAATGGTCGTCTTTTGGACAACTGTCAAGTCTTCCCCATGATTGTGTAGCCTACAGAACTAGACTGAGAGACCATTTAAAGACCTTTGCAGGTGTTTTGAGTTAATTCACTGATTCGAGTGAGGCACCAGCCGTCTTCAATATTGAATCTTTTCACAAAATTCTAATTTTCTGAGATACTGAATTTGGGGTTTTCATTAGTTGTCTGTTATAATCATCAACATTAAAATAAATAAACATTTGAAATATATCAGTCTGTGTGTAATGAATGAATATACTATACAAGTTTCACTTTTTGAATGGAATTACTGAAATAAATCAACTTTTTCATGATATTCTAATTTTATAACCAGCACCTGTATATTGAGGTATTGAGAGAATACAAATAATCAAATTGATTACTGGTAAACAATTAGGAATACTTAATTTTAGGGTCCAACTGGAGAATTTTTGAAGTTTTTGGAGTGTTAAGGGTCAGGAAGGGAGTACTCTACCAGTAAATGAATTGGACACTACACCCGTGGTATAGCCAACTAAATTTTACCTTCATTCAGCTTTGCAATCAAATTAGGACCAGAAAAGTTGTCCCTTAATTTCCATACTAGGCTGGACCCCGAAGCTCTTTATGTTGTAGCCGGAGACTTTAATCGCGTGAATCTAAAGGACTGTCTCCCAAGCTTTTATCAACATGTGGCAATCCCAACACGTGGAGACAAGACACTGGACCGTGTTTACACGAATGTAAAAGATGCATACAAAGCCGAACCCCGCCCCACCTACGACTGTCAGACCACATCTCGATCTTCCTGGCTCCTGCTTACATGCCCCTGCTGAGACGCTCCAGACCGGTACAAAAGAAAGTTAAATGTTGGATCCAGGACAGTGGCCCCATACTGAGAGATTGTTTTGACCGAACAGACTGGCAGGTTTTCAGAGAAGCTGCTGAAAATGGAGGATCGCTTGATCTTGACTAGGGGTTGAACGAGTATATAATTTTTAAACTCGACATTAACATAATAAAACCCGAGTAGAGCACGAGTATTTGATGACGTCATAGATCTCAAAATACAAAACTAAAAAAATAAAATAAAACCGCAAAAAAGGTAATTACAAAAAAAGACCAACAAAACATTGGGAGCTTATATTATGCTCCTACCATTTATCATACTGCAAATAAGTCACAGGAAAAACTAAACTATTAGTTATTATTATTAAACTGCAAACGTGAAGAAACATGCAGCACGTCAAAAATGAAACTTAAATGGAAACTGGTTCTGGTTCGGTAGATTGGACCCGGTGTGACCTGCAACAGTGCAACACCGCCCCCTACGGTCATACGGTGGTCACATAATATGACGTCACTACGGATACTCGACGTAACATTTTTAACCTCGATAGATGTACTAGCAATCGATGTCTAGATTACTCGAGTACTCTGTTAATGCCCTAATCTTTACCAATACACATCCTCAGTTCTGGGTTACATTAGTACATGTACTGAAACCGTCTCCACTATCAGAAATGTTAAAAGCTACCCAAACAGAAAACCTTGGCTGAATGCAGAGTTGCGCACCCTGCTGGAAGCCAGGAACACTGCCTTCAGGTCTGGAAACTCAAAGGAGCTGAGTAGGACAAGAAAAGAGCTGTTTGCTGGTATTAAGAAGGCCAAGGCCACATATGCACAGAGGATCAAGGGTCAATTCATCTCACAAGACCCTCGGAGCATGTGGAGGGGCATTAAGTGCATAACAGTTTATAAAAGAAGAAGTGAACAATGCCCCAAAGACCCATCTCTGCCTGATGCCCTCAACAAGTTCTATGCATGCTTTGAAGACCCGAACAGACCATCCAGCACCAGACTCGCCTCACCACCGGATGAAGAGCATCTCGGCGTGACCTCAGCCGAAGTAAGGAGTACTTTCAGGAGGATTAATCCGCACAAAGCAACTGGCCCAGACAACATCCCCGGAAAAGTGTTGAAGGAATGTGCCGATCAGCTCTGCGAGGTGCTGGCAGACATCTTTAACACCTCACTTACCCTGGAGACAGTTCCCACATGCCTGAAGACTGCCACCATCATCCCAGTCCCAAAAAGCTCTACAGTGACTAGTCTGAATGACTATCGGCCAGTGGCCCTCACTCCGATAGTCGCTAAATGCTTCGAAAAACTGGTCATGACTCACATCAAAACAACCGTCAACATCAAAGAGGGCCCTCATCAGTATGGATACAGTGAGAACCGATCAACAGAGGATGCCATCTCCTCTGTGGTCCACACTGCGCTCAACCACCTGGAGCAGAAAAACTCTTACGTCCGTATGCTCTTTGTGGACTTCACATCCACCTTCAACACCATGATCCCCCAAACCCTGATGGACAAACTATCCACACTAGGACTAAGCCCCTCCATTTGCAACTGGGTACTAAAAACAGACCACAGTTAGTGAGGATCCACAACTTCTCCTCCTCCACCATAACCCTCAGCACTGGCTCTCCTCAGGGATGTGTGTTGAGCCCCCTCCTGTTTACTCTGCTCACGTATGATTGTGCAGCTACCCATCCAGGCTGTCACATTGTAAAGTTTGCAGATGATACAGCGGTGGTGGGATGCATCACAAACAATGATGAGTCCAGCTACAGGCAAGAGGTGGAACACCTGGAGAGCTGGTGCAAAGAGAATAACCTTCACATCAATGTGAAGAAGACAAAGGAGATGATCATGGACTTCAGAAGGAACAAAAACATCTACACCCCACTGAACATAAGAGGATCTGCGGTGGAAGTGGTCTCCAGCTACAAGTACTTGGGTGTACACATGAATGACAACCTCAGCTGGGACAACCACACCACCAACCTGATCAAGAAAGCTCATCAGAGACTCTACTTCTTCAGGCGGCTGAGACGAGCTGGTCTGGGAAGCTCAGTCCTCACCTCCTTCTACAGGTGTGCAGTGGAGAGCATCCTGTGCTCCAGCATCAACGTGTGGCATGGAGGCTGCACAGCTGCAGAAAGAAAAGCTTTGCAGAGAGTGGTGAAGGCTTCACAGAAGACTGTCGGAGACAGCCTCCCCACCATCACAGACATCTACACCTCCAGATGCAGGAAGAGGGCCACCTGCATCATGAAGTACCTCACCCACCCAGCACACACACTTTTTGCCCCACTCCCCTCAGGAAGGAGGTTGAGAAGCATTAAGTGTAGAACCACTAGACTGAGGAACAGCTTCTACCCTGAGGCTGTTAGACTCATGAATCTCTAACTAAAATAATCACTGTGAAAAATCACATCATGTTGCTGCTGATCTGTTTCATGTTGCTGCTGATCTGTTTCAATGTTGATGTGTTCATGCGTGCACATCCGCTCACACAGACTCATGTTCATGTTTGTGCTGATGTTCAATGTTTTATGTTATGAGTGCTTAGTGTATATTTAGTTGATGTTTTTCTTAGTTCATATTTTAGATGTTATTACTGTTTTTCTTATATATTTTATTGTTGGATGTAACTGGGATCCTGTGTACATAATTTCGCTCCACCACATGTACCACATGAGGTGCAAATGACAATAAAGAAACTCTGACTCTGACTCTGCCTCTGATTTGCCTTTCTCTTTAAGAACCAGGTTCAGGCAAGGAGCTTCTACTTTTGGAACTGATACAGCTCGGAGAATGGAGCCACAACAAAAATAGCAAAATTAGCAAAACTGTAACTAAACGCTAAAATTGGCAAAACAATAGCTAATATCTAAAATTAAGAACACTGTAGCTCAAATCTTAAATAAGTAGACTTAAACCTAAATGTTGCAATTAGCACAATCTTACTCAGACCCCTCCACCACATTAAGGTGGAGATCCAGTGGAGCGGGCAAATATTTTTGATCAAACCAAAGGACTTGCTAGCTTTTATGCCCACAACTGGTTTTGATTATGCTATGTAAACACACACACACACACACATATAGGTTAATCATGACTGTAGTGTTGCCTACCACCTTGTGCATATGCATATTGTCTTTTTTTGGATTTGTGTATTCAATTTTTTTTAAAATTATTATTTCATATGTATTTTTTTCTCTGTCATCTTTCTTTGTTGAAATCAGGTCTCTCTTGTAAATGAGTCCTCGAGGCTCAATGGGATTTACCTGTATAAATAAAAGTTGATTGATTTTGCACATAGCAAGTTTTTCTATCATGCTGCCCTGGTGCCAGTTGTAGGATGGTGGCTTGACTGGATTGGTTTTATTAAAATCATAAAATACAATATGTGTGACTAAACACAAAAAGACTTTATTTGAAGTAACCATTTTAAAGTGAAAATTAGATTTAAATAATCTGTTGTGTTTGTGTGTTTTCCTTAGCCCCCACTGTGTTGGTGGACGTAGCTGAAGATGATACTTTAATGGTGGAGGAGATCTTCGGCCCCATTTTGCCTATCCTTACTTTTGAGTCTCTGGAGAAAAGTATTGAGTTTGTCAACCAAAAAGACAAACCTCTGGCCCTCTACATTTTCTCTGACGAATCTTCTGTAAGGACATGCAACTTTAACTCCTGGTTTGCAGCTGTAAACGCACAACAAAATGATTTGCTCCCTTGTTTTTATCAAGGTGGTAAAAACGGTCCTGGAGAATACCAGCAGTGGAGGATTCTGCTCCAATGATGGAATCGTCCATATGACCCTGCCTGGTCTGCCATTTGGAGGTGTAGGTAGGTGTCTTCTTCCTTTGTTACCGTGACCTCTGCATACTTCAAATTAAAGAGTGTAAAATTTGGTTTGATCCAAGTTTGAATCAAAAGACAAAACCAAAAATCTGTTCAGCACAGTTTCAGTTTTCTGTTTAACAACATGAAACTAGAATATTTGTGATCTGACCTGAAAATGCCTATTTTATGATTTATTTACTGGCTGTAACTACCGTACCTACCACTGCACTCTGCACTCAATGGTCAGTTGGTAATCATTGAGGGACAGCGTGGCTGAGTGGTTAGAGCAGTTGTCTTCCAATGGAAAAGTTGGGGTTTGATTCCACCAGCAGTTACATGCTGAAGTGTCCCTGGGCAAGACACTGAACCCCTCATTACTTCTGATGTTTGTCCCATTGGTGGATGAATGTTATAAAGCTCACATTACTCTTTGTATAGATATACACTGCCTGACCAAAAAAAAGTCGCCACCAAAAAAATGGTCACACACTAATATTTCGTTGGACCGCCTTTAGCTTTGAATACGGCATGCATTCACTGTGGCATTGTTTCAATAAGCTTCTGCAATGTCACAAGATCTATTTCCATCCAGTGTTGCCTTAAATTTTCACCAAGATCTTGCATTGATGATGGCAGATTGTGACCACTGTGCAAAGCCTTCTCCAATATATCCCAAAGATTCTCAATGGGGTTAAGGTCTGGACTCTGTAGTGGACAATCCATGAGTGAAAATGATGTCTCATGCTCCCAGAACCACTCTTTCACAATTCGAGCCCGATGAATCCTGGCATTGTCATCTTGGAATATGCCTGTGCCATCAAGGAAGAAAAAAATCTATTGATGGAAGAACCTGGTCATTCAGTATATTTAGGTAGTCAGCTGACCTCATTCTTTGAGCACATACTGTTGCTGAACCTAGACCTGACCAGCTGCAGCAACCCCAGATCATAGACTGCCCCCACAGGCTTGAACAGTAGGCACTAGGCATGATGGGTGCATTTCTTCACCTGCCTCTCTTCTTACCCTGATGCGCCCATCACTCTGGAACAGGGTAAATCTGGACTCATCAGACCACATAACCTTCTTCCATTGCTCCAGAGTCCATTCTTTATGCTCCCTAGCAAACTGAAGCCTTTTTTTCTCAGTTAGCCTCATTGATTACGGGAGTGGTTTTCTTAAGGCTACACAGGTGTTCAGTCCCAATCCCTTGAGTTCCCTTCACAATGTGCAATGTCCACTTGCTCTTGTCGGGGTCAGACGCTTTTCCCCTTCCCTCCCTCTCATCTTTGCTTTGCTGCTCTTGTCTGTCTGTGAAACTGCTTCTGAGCCTTTCTTGCATATCTTCTGAACCATAATTATGGTCTTGATTTGATCAGTTGGTCCCTCAACACAATTGATAACATTTCTTCAAAGAGAAGACAGACTTTAGGCGAGCTGATTTGCCCTGTTGGCACACACGCAGCTGGATATCTCATTGACTTGAAGACGATGATGTGTCTATCTCTGCTGCCATTTGTGGATTTTAAGGACGCATATGTAATTGGATTTATGATAACTGGTTCCTGCTTTTTGGATTCGGCTGGTTGCTGGTTTTATTTGAGCAGCTGTGGCTGAGTGGTTAGAGAATTTGTCCTCTAATGCAAGAGTTGGGGTTCGAATCCATCAGCAGTCACATGCCGAAGTGTCCCTGGGCAAGACACTGAACCCCTCATTGCCTCCGATGTGTGGCCCATCGGTGTATGAATGTGATAAAGCTCTTATTAGTCTCTTTAGAATGATTTGTTCAATTAGCTTTGTAGAGATTTAGTAGAATGCTGTATGAATGGGTAAATGAGGACACAGATTGTAGTGTAAAGTGCTATGAGTGTCTTGATCCGATAGAAAAGTGCTATATAAGTACCGTCCATCTACAATCAAGGAAGTCGTCGGCAGCAAATTTGGACCCGATCACGCTGCTTGCCTTTATGTGGGCTTGGTTCGTGCCTCGAGTACCCAGACTCAAATGCTTTGGGCAGAATGGATCAGATCTCGGGGATTTTACTCAGGCACGTTCCATCGGTGTGGCCATGTAATTTGGACATTTCGGAACTGTTTAGACCAACACAGACTCAAGGTAGACGTCATTAAATTCTGCCTGTCCCCAAAACAATTGTGTGTTTATCTGAACTTGGCTCCCCTGGCTGGCCTTGACCTTATCTGAATTTGCCTGAAGAACATGTGATCTGATGCTCACACACACACGCACAGCCCACCCCCGAGGAATTTCCAATTGATCAACAAAGAGGAAACCAGCTGAATAAACATTGTGTCATCATTTTAGGACTCTTGGATTCTCATAGGCGTTGTCCTTGGCATTCCCCGACATACCTCGAGAATGTTTACGGATCTCACCGGAGGAAACTGGCTAATTATTCTATCCTTATCAGAACTCTTACAGTGCCCTCAAGAGCGTCCAAGGACATTGCTCACCGCTCTCGTCGTCTCCCCCCTCTGCGGAATGTCTACGTCACTATGTGCTTGTTTTTGCGAGGTGTTTTTTAATACTAGTTTTTCTTCTCAGCCAAGAAGAAAAAGTCTGATAGGAATTTTTTCACCTCCAATTCCTACATGTGTCCAGTTTAACTACTTTTTGTCTGTCTAAACAGATCTCACTTGTAAATGAGTCTTCTAGGCTCAATGTGACTTCGCTGTCTAAACAAAGGCTGAATGAATGAATGGAAATGCTCTTACTTTCACTATTACTTCACTATAGCCCTGAGTGCTACTGTTGTTTTTCTTCCATTTGATTTCACCAAATGTTTGTGATCGCCGATCACGATCATTCAGGATTTTTTTCCGCCCACATTTCTTCCTCGAAGACGATGGGTCTCCACTATCCTTCCAGTTTTTAGTAATGTGTTGGACAGTTCTTAACCCAATTTTAGTCGTTTCTGCAATCTCCTTTGATGTTTTCTCTGCTGCATACCAATGATTTGACCCTTCTCCAACAGACTGACATCTTTTCCACAGCCACATGATGTGTCTTTCAACATGGTTGTTTAAGAAATGAGAAGCAACTCATTGCACCAGTTGGGGTTAAATAACTTGTTGCCAGCTGAAAGATAATCACCCATGCAATAATTATCCAATAGGAGACTCGTACCTATTTGCTTAGTTAAATCCAGGTGGCGACTTTTTTTTTTTTGGCCAGGCAGTGTAGCATAGTGCTGTATGAATGGGTAAATGAGGGACAGATTGTGTTCTAAAGTACTTTCAGTATCTCAATAAGATAGAAAGGTGCTATGTAAGTACAGTCCATTATCTACACGCAGGCTCTCACACCGGTTCATTTTCATCTATAAATGGTAAATGGACTGTACTTATATAGCGCCTTTCTATCTTATTGAGATACTCAAAGCGCTTTACACTACAATCTGTGCCTCATTTACCCTTTCATACAGCACTCTACTAGAAAGCTAATTGAACAAATCATTCTAATGAGACTAATCAGAGCTTTATCAGAGTCAGAGTCAGAGTTTCTTTATTGTCATTCGCACCTCATGTGGTACATGTGGTGGAGCGAAATTATGTACACAGGGTCCCAGTTACATCCAACAATAAAATGTCTAAGAAAAACAGTAATAACATCTAAGATATGAACTAAGAAAAACATCAACTAAATATACACTAAGCACTCATAACATAAAACATAACATAACATAACACACATCTATATACTGATGGGACACACATCGGAGGCAACTAGGGTTTTAGTGTCTTACCCAGGGACATTTCGACATGTGACTGCTGGTGGATTTGGACCCTCAACTCTTGCATTGGAGGACGACTGCTCTAACCACTCAGCCACAGCCGCCCCTATAAATCACTCCTTCGTCTGCTACCTTAAAATATCTCCTCCCACATGTCACGTCATCAGTGCAGTTACAACATGCGTTCTCAGGCCGTCATTACCTGCAGTGTTCCCTCAGTGCTGACTGAACTTGGAAAAAAGGCCTTTTCTTACTCTGCTCCTGTTTCCTGGAACAACTTGCAACAGGAACTGAAGTTGTGCACTTTGATTTCTTTAAGGGATTTTAAACATTTGATAAGGTCAATGGAAACATCAAAGCAAATGTGTTCTTGTTTTTAGTATTTTACTTGTTTTCAAGGTTCAACGTTCTTTATTATCATTCACATCACATGTAGTACATGAGGTGGAACAAAATTGTGTACCCAAGGTTCCAGTTATACCAAAAAACAGCAAAAAGAAAAAGTATAAAAATAAACAGTATACAAGGATCTAAGATATACGCTAAACACTAATAATGTAAAATAATATATCATGTTTTGTATGGCACCTTAATTTAATTGTTTTTAATAACACCACTTTTTATTTTAATTGCTTTTATTGTTGTATATTGTTGTCCATCTAAAACAGGTCTCTTGAAAATGAGTCCTCGTGACTCAATGAGACTACTTGTATAAATAAAGGTTAAATAAAAAATAAAACGAAGAAGGTGGTGCACTGTCTGCACTGGTCCAAAGACAAACTGTCCAAGATTAAAACTGACCTGGACCCTGCATGTAACCGCTTTAATCAAACTCCAGCTACGTTCTTACACACATTCTGGTCTTGTCCAAAGCTGCAGACCTATTGGCAATCTAAAAACCGGATTCCAAAAAAGTTGACACTAAACAAATTGTGAATAAAAACTGAATGCAATGATGTGGAGATGGCAAATGTCAATATTTTATTTGTAATATAACATAGATGACAGGTCAAAAGTTTAATCTGAGTACATGTAACATTTTAAAAGAAAAATATGTTTATTCAAAATGTCACAGTGTCAACAAATCCCAAAAAAGTTGGGACAAGTAGCAATAAGTGGCTGGAAAAAGGAAATTGAGCACATAATGAACAGCTGGAAGACCAGTTAACACTAATTAGGTCAATTGACAACAGATTGGGTATAAAAAGAGCTTCTCAGAGTGTCATTGTCTCTCAGAAGCCAAGATGGTAAGAGGATCACCAATTCCACCATTGTTGCGCAGAAAGATAGTGCAGCAATACCAGAATGGTGTTATCCAGCGTAAAATAGCAAAGACTTTTAAGTTATCATCATCAACCATGCATAACATCATCAAAAGATTCAGAGAATCTGGAACAATCGCTGTGCGTAAGTGTCTAGGCTATAAAACTCTACTGGATGCTCGTGATCTCCGGGCCCTTAAACGTCACTGCACCTCAAACAGGAATGCCACTGTCAAGGAAATAACAGAATGGGCTCAGGAATACTTCCAGAAAGCATTGTCAGTGAACACAATCCACCGTGCCATCCGCCGTTGCCAGCTGAAACTCTACAGTGCAAAGAGGAATCCATTTCTAAGCAAGCTCCACAAGCTCAGACGTTTGTACTGGGCCAGGGGTCATTTAAAATGGAGTGTGGCAAATAGAAGACTGTTCTGTGGTCAGATGAGTCACGATGTGAAGTTCTTTATGGAACACTGGGACGCCATGTCATCCGGACCAGAGAGGACAAGGATAGCCCAAGTTGTTATCAACGCTCCGTTCAGAAGCCTGCATCACTGATGGTATGGGGTTGCATGAGCGCTTGTGGCATGGGCAGCTTGCATGTCTGGAAAGGCACCATTAATGCAGAGAACTATGTTCAGGTTCTAGAACAACATATGTTCCCATCTAGACGTCATCTCTTTCAGGGAAGACCCTGCATTTTTCAACATGATAATGCCAGACCACATTCTGCAGCAATCACAACATCATGGTTACGTAGGAGAAGGATCCAGGTACTGAAATGGCCAGACTGCAGTCCAGATCTTTCACCTATAAGGAACATTTGGCACATCATAAAGAGGAAGGTGCGGCAAAGAAGGCCCAAGACGATTGAACAGTTAGAGGCCTATATTAGACATGAATGGGAGAGCATTCCTATTTCTAAACTTGAGAAACTGGTCTCCTCTGTCCCCAGACGTCTGTTGAGTGTTGTAAGAAGAAGGGGGGATGCCACACAGTGGTAAAAATGGACTTGTCCCAACTTTTTTGGGATTTGTTGACGCCATGTAATTTGGAAACAACAGATTTTTCCCTTAAAATGATACATTCTCTCAGTTTAAACTTTTGATCTGTGATTTGTTCTATTCTGAATAAAATATTAGATGTTGGCACCTCCACATCATTGCATTCAGTTTTTATTCACAATTTGTTTAGTGTCCCAACTTTTTTGGAATCGGTTTGTAGTTTTGATACCTTCTCTGATGTGGAAAATCTGTGTACCTGTCACCATTCATCTCACTGTTTGGGGTGGTCCTCGAGGATGCATCCTTTAGCAAATACGAGAGGGATGTGTTTGCTTTTGGCTCTCTTCTAGCTAGGAGACATTTTATTCAGATGGAAGGATCTGTATGCCCCCCCCCCCCCACACACACACACACACCAAAACCACCACCACCCCCCAGCATATGAACACTGGATAAGAAAAGTTTTGTCATATTAATTTGGAAAAGATTAGATATACCATGAAAGTATCTGTTGAGAGGTTTTGGGACACTTGGCAGCCGTTTGTATCATAAATTGAAAATATGTCAGCAGCAGTGATGTGCTGGGAGCTTTGTTGCAGGTGAGGCACTGACTCGTCTAAAGTCTGATGCTCACATATATGAACCCAAAATAGAAGCTTATATTTAAATTTAGCCTGTTTTTTCTTCCTCTCTCTAATACCTTCTGTTTCGACTGAAAATCGAGTTTAGAAAAATCCTTCAGTTTTGAGATATGATCTTCCATTTTGTCTAAACAAATTTAAACATGTACCGATTTGCTAACCCCCGCCCCTCTGCGTAACAGAAGAACATACATCGACTGCACCTGCTTCATTGTTCCTATGGGGCAGCACTGCCCCCTATCGGTGCAGCACGGTATATTCTGCCTCACCCTGTGTATTTTCACCCTGCATTTATGATTTATTTATTTAATTTATTTATTGGGGGAGTGGTGGTGCAGAGGTTAGAGAGGTGGGCTTGTGATCCGAAGATCGCCGGTTCACGCCCCGGCCCCGACAACATCAAAATTGTGGGTGGGGTAGGTGAAACACCCACACTTGCCCCCACCCTCATTCGCCCCACTCTGGGCCCCTGAGCAAGGCCCTTAACCCCCACCATGTGCTCCCTAAACAGGTCTCTCTTGAAAATGAGTTCTCGTGGCTCAATGAGACTACCTGGATAAATAAAGGCTAAATGAAAAAAAAAAAAAAAAAAGACCAGTTAGAAAGCAGAAATATGTCACACACATTCATTCAATATATGACAGTCTATAGAACATCAACATGTGTAACACATTTGTAATCAAACATGTATATTCACAATATAAAGAGAGACTGCAATGGGCATGCACCAACCACCGACTTCATATATTGTGCATGACACAGCGCCCCCAGAGGTGAACCAGAGCACTACACACATTACCCCGCATTGTTTGAACAGGCGATGTGTAAATTCTGTGACCATTGAAGTGTTGAAATAATTCAGAAAACAGTTTTATAAAACTGTTAGTTTTATAAAACTGTTTTATAAAACAGTTTTATAAAACTGTTCTATAAAACTGTTTTATAAAACAGTTTTATAGAACAGTTTCATAGAACAGTCAGGTGGTCAATTGTATTTTCTCTCATCATCGTCAATATTTTAGTTGTCATGATGACAGGTGCACACTGCCTCACCTGACCGCACGTCACTGGTCAGCACATTATATTGTGTAGTTGTCATAAATGCCTGTCTGGTGTGTGCATGTCTGTGTGTCTGATGTGTTGTGGGAGGGGGTTGTGTTGTGTCTTTTTGTGTGTTTTGAGCGAGTTCTGGGGGAGAAAAATTATTAAAAAGGAATAAAAGGAAGGTGTTAATAGTACCAAGGTTAAAATAAATCTTAAAGCTTCTGTCAGTGGCTTATTGTTGTCACGGTAATCACACATTTGTCTCTCACTCCCTGACTGCCAAGGTAAATGGGAAGCAGACAGAAACACAGACTGATAAATAAGCCTAAGACAAAACAGTTGTGTGATCTAACTAAAGTTCGATCTCGACAGTCATTGATTGGACTGTGAGTGAAAGAAAAGTCTGATGGTCATGAATGAACGATGTTTCTACAGTGTTTTATTTGAAAAGTAAAAAAAGACTTCACTTCCGGTTTCGATGAGAGTACTTTGGGCTGAAATAGAACCGCTCTGTGGTACCCTGGTTGTGGAAGCACACTGACTGAAAGCAGACAGACATGTGTGAGTTGTAAATGTCTCAGTTTCAGTGTGAAATCTGAAGGTTCTCCTGTTTCGTGTCTCTGTCCATGCAGGGGCCAGCGGGTGGGGCAGCTACCACGGCCGCTGGGGCTTCGAGGTGTTCAGTCACAGGCGGGCCTGCATGCTGCGCGGCTGGGCGTTGGAGAGGCTCAACGGTCTGCGTTACCCCCCGTACAGTGAAGACAAGTTAAAATGGCTGCGCTGGACCACCTCTGCATCTAGCTCCTGCTCTCTCATGTGACGGGGTGTGTTTGACTTCCTCCTTCAGGTCTGACATCATACTACAGCTTTGTGAGGTCTAATAAAAAGTTCATCTTCTGTTCCCCCACTCGCTGAAACGATTGAGCTCAGACTTTGTCCCAGGGTTTGAGTCATTGGGGACGTTCCATCAGACACGGTATCAGTTTGGATCCACTGACAGATGGTGTGATGAAGATGATTGTGATGACTTGATTCTGTAACATCATCCTGGAGTGAACAGGAAATGAGATCATTGTTTTGGAAGGTTGTTAATGTTTCATCACATTTTCCCTTGTGCAAAGTTTGTCACATTTAAGTTTGTATTTAGATATTTTTTAAAAACAGTTTTCACTTTAGTTTCTCTGTATTTTTCTTCATTGCTGAACCCCAAAGTTTGTTTTTCTCATGTTACCTGTGATTTTTTTTCCCCAAGTCGCTTGTATCTTAATTATAAAATTAAAAATGACAACGAATGAGGCAGCGTCTGATCTATATCTAGAGATCCTAGATGTAGATCAGTTTACCAGACCTCTGTTTATCTCAGCATTTGAGCTTTTCATTCCCAACATATTGTAAATAGATTTTTCAAGGAACTCTGGTTTAAATTCACAAACATGACCTTTGACATTTAACTGTTTTATTTTTTATTTTTTAATTGCTTTAAAATGAATTCATATGGAGCAATTTCGGGCAGCTTGGTGGCCCAGTTGGTAGAGCTGGTGCCTCGCAGCGAGAAGGTTGCCGGTTCAGATCCTGGCTGGGGGCCTTTCTGGGTGGTTTGCATGTTCTCTCCGTGCTGCGTGGGTTTCCTCCCACAGACTAAAAACATGCATGGTAGACTGATTGACAACTCTAAAATGTCCCTAGGTGAGAGAGTGAATGGTTGTTTGTCTCTGTGTGTCCCTGTGATGGACTGGAGACCTGTCCAGGTGTCCCCCGCCTCTCCCACAGTGACTGTTGGACATGGGCACCAGTGACCCTCATGATCCGAAAAGAAAGAAGTGGCTAAAATATGATGGATGGATGAAGCAGTTTCAGTTATCAGGTAAAAATGTATCTAAAAGTCTCAGAGCATTTGTTGAAGTGTCAGCCCCAGCAGATGAAACGTTGGGTCAATGACCGTAACATTTATTAAATTATTGACTTTGTGTTTAAGGTCAGGTGGCTCCCTTTGGAGGTTTACTGAGCAGGTACCACTGGGAAGAGACTCCAGGCCAGATCCAGAACTTGCTGGAGGAGTTTTATATCCTCCCTGGCCTGGGAACATCTTGGGATCCCCCCAGGAGGAACTGGGGAGAGGTATGTCTGGGTTTCTACCTGGACCTGTTGCCTCTGCCACCTGATCACAGACAAGCAGTAGAAGATGGTCAGTTGTAGTGGTGTGTATCCAGTGGATATTTTCTCTCAATGAAATCTGTCCAGTGATACATGAGATATTTTGGTAATGTAGTTGACTCTGTGAGTTGTGACCTTTTCGTGGTGGACTTTGTGTGACAGGCCAGAGAAAGAGTGTTTCACATCACTTGTTTGACCTTGACGCTCTGACCTTAGCTGGCTCTGTGGACATGAGGTGTCACCTCTCTGGTGGGGAAGGAGCCTGAGCTTGTGTGTGGGGTAGTGATATCTACCAGATATCTAAATATACCTACCTCAATAGCTGTTGCAAATTGTGACTACAAATGCTGAGCCTTCAGCTTGGAAGATATGACGTAGCAATGTGCTAATGGCATACATCATAAATCATACATCATAAATCATACATCATAAATCATAAATCATACATCATAAATCATACATTATACATCATACAACATACATCAAAGACACTATAAATCATGCCAGGCCACGTTCAGTTCTCATGCTCTCATCAAAGTTTCCTTTTTATGAATCAAGTAAACCATCTTATGGTGTCTAAAAAAAGTTACTGGTAAGTCAGGTCCTCTGGACAGAATCTTGTTGAAACGTTTCATCTTTTATCTCTGCTTTTCCTGAAAGCAGAGAAGAAACCCCAACAGGACTCCAGTCAGCCATCAGGTGAAAAGGAGGAACCCAGACCCAGACCAGTGGTCATTCCGTATGTTGAGGGAGTATCAGAGAAACTGAGACGTTTATTTTCTAAACATAACGTCCCAGTGGCTTTTAAACCCCAAAATACATTACGGCAAAGACTGGTTCATCCCAAAGATCCAGTCCCCCGGCACAAACAGAGTAATGTTGTGTATGCTGTTCAGTGTCAGGAGGGCTGTGATCAGTCTTACATCGGGGAAACTAAACAGCCACTGGCCAAAAGGATGGCCCAGCACAGAAGATCAACATCATCAGGCCAGGACTCTGCGGTCTACACTCATCTCCAGGCCAGCGGTCACTCTTTCAGGGATGAAGATGTTCACATCCTGGACAGAGAGGAACGATGGTTTGAGAGAGGAGTAAAGGAGGAAATCTTTGTGAAAAGAAATCGTCCATCATTAAACAGGGGTGGAGGCCTCCGGGTTCAACTGTCCCCCTCTTACAATGCTGTGATTGCTAGTATCACTCAGACTCCTGTGAGGCTGGTTCTGGATGTCAACAACAAACTGGTTGATCCACTACGAGAAGGTGTTATTTATAAGACTGAGTTTGTTGCAGCTCCTCAGACTGAAGAAGTCTTTTGGATAAAAGACGAAACGTTTCAACAACAAGGATCTGTCCAGAGGACCTGACTCAACTTTGTTAGATTTATCTACCTGGATTATTGAGCATGCATCAGATATCATGGTGTCATTTTTTTAAGTCACAAACAGCAGCTTGAACACTAAACCCAAAAGTAGTGACACGTACATGAAGACGTCCACTCATTTCTGTCCAAATATTACCCAGCTGCCTCCTCAGCTCACTAAATGGTGCGTTTAAGTAAAACGTAACTTCAATATTTCAGACTGAAATTTAACAGTAATTGACAAAACTTACTGTATCTGCAAAATTTCATCATGTAATGAAACCAAAATACTGTAATATTAAAAATGACCAAAGGAAAGCTAAATGAGATATTTAACCTTCTTTTATTGGAGCACCTACAATTTCAGTATGAATTTTCAAAGTTGCAGGTTCACAAATCACACATTTTCACGTGGTCAAAAGAAAATATTTATAGAAGTGCAATATTTATTTTTCGTGTTCATGCCTTGCTGCTTTTTCAGAAATGCATCATCACTAACAAGATGTTCTTGGGTCAGAGCTGGACCACTAAGCTGATTCAGATGAACTCATCCAGTTTTGATGATCGTCTGTAGTGAAATAAAACAGACGGCTCCAACAATACAACTTATTCATTTTTAGTCAGCTAAAAATGGAATAAAAAAAAAAGATTTTCAAGTAGCATTGATAAAGGTCTATTTCAAAATGTCTTTCAGAATCAGAATAAGCTTTATTGTCATTGCACCGAGATACGAGAATATGTTCGTACAGCTGTCCGAACGACGGGCGGAGTGCACGTAGCTGCTGCTATGTAGCGCGGCCTTCTTGTTCTTTTCAGAATACATTTTTTAGATAGAAAAAAGGGACAAAGCCGCAAGGAGAGGATAGTGGCATTACAAAAACAATCTCTTCACACCTTGTCCTAACAGGACACGATTTAAGACATCAAAAAACTCAGAATCCAGACTATTCCATAGACAGAGAGCAAAAAAGCAGGAGGAGAACAGGGAGAAGGAAGAGAATGTGTGCGCCTCGTTCCAGAGCCAGTGAGGAAAAAAAAAACTTTCACCAAATTTAATTTTCTGTCAGTTCAACAGTTGGTCTTCCTGTTGGAAATAAAATCTTGATCTCTGCAAAAGATCACCTTGAAAAAGCTGATGCAAACAACCATCACTGATGCTGTCACAGGACCACCTGCAGGGCCTAACTAAGGCTGCGTGTTCTGGTCCCACCCACTCTACATCAGCGTTGTGATTGGTCATTTTTCTCAGCAGTTACTGAGCAACATCAAAGCCTTCTCTCGAGACAGAGAAGTCCTAACCAATGAGAAAGTGCCTTCAAACATGTTTCTGCCTGGAGACAAATTTAAAATAATCTGATTGGATAGCTATATTTACATGAATTAGTTTAGAGAAATTGAGAAATTAGCAAAGATAAATGTTTTATAGAGATGGTGAAACTGAACCACTTTGAGAGTTGCTCAGAAAATGGACTAACGGTTCAAAGTGGTTGATACGCTCCAAAGTATCTGCTCGTTGTTCTTATGTACGACATTTGAGGAGAAGATTGACGCATCACCACTTCATCTAAATTTTGGTTTTCTGTGTTTCTTCATTCTATTTTCAGTAAAGCTGATGTTCTCCAACCAAACCTGTGTCATTGTGTTATTGTGGTTCATATATATATATACTGTAAATCGAAAGGAGGATGTTACAATACATCCTTGTAAAAGTGGATTTCTTCCTGGTAACATAAAGGTTTAAATTAAAAAAATAATAATTATACACAGTATATATATATATTTCATTTCAAAGCCTTGAGATAAGTCCCGCCCATTTGGGTTTCCTGCAAATCAGCGCATGTCAAGTTACGCATCACAAGTAGCTCGAGACGCATAAAACTGAACGAAGTCTTGTTTTGAAGCGGTCACGATTTTTGGCGTGCTGACATGGTGATCAAAGCACTGCATCACGGTACTAACACTTCATTTGCTTGAAACTGTCAAGCAGCACATCACTAATGTTTTATATGCAAATAAATACAGTATTTAATACAAATGTAACGTTTCATAATGTGCTTAACTCTTGGGCCTTCTCTGAAGGTGTTGAAGGCCTTGAGGGTCTCCCACAACCCAACAGATATCCTAGATGTACATCAGTTTTCTGCTGGGTAGCTAGGCTCGCCTTTAGAGATGAAGTGAAATGTTCAGTAATCTGGGAGAGACTGGACCAACTCAACTGGTTCCTGTCGGTGTGGAGTGGCAGCTGTATTTCAAGACATCTGGTAAGGGTGCCTAGTTGGACATTCCAGAAGGAAGGAATTAATCCTGGAAGAGGTAGCTGTGGAAAGAGATCTGGGCCTTTTTGCTCAAGCTGCGACTCGACTCTGGAACAAGCAACAGATAATCGAGTTGATCCCAAATAGTTCTGTCAAGATGAAACATCTGTGACTTCTTTGTGATTGTATCGAGATTTGAAGTTTCAAAGACAAACCCAGCAGTGATGTACAGTGGTAGGAGCCACAGACTTCCATCATGACTAATGAAAAGGCACTAAAGATTTGAATCCGTCCCTTCCAGCTGTTTCATTGTGACGCAAGACCCACACAGCACCAGTCACATGACCACCACAGAGATCTGCTTCAAGAGTGAAACAGGCTTCAGAGCCTGTGTCAATGTCCCTTTTCTACTTAATGCTAAAGTTTGAAAGATTTTGTTCAAGCTGT